AGACCTTTCTGAAAAAAATAAGACTTGGACAACAGAATTTAAGACTTTTTAAGGCCTTAATTTAGGAACATGAAATTTAAGACCTTTTTTAAGACTTTTAAGTCCTCGCGGCTATCATGTTTATCATTATTATTAGTTTGTATGACCATAATACAGTACAATACAAGAAAAAAGAAAGAAATTGGGTTATTTACTATGCATAGTATGTAATTTATTTTGCTATATGTAAATATTTGTAAAGTTTCGTCATCAGTGTACAGAAGTAACCACATAATTTTGGAATTTTTGAAACTGTAATGAACAGGGGTGGGTTAATATATGTTTTTTTTTTTTTTCTTTTTCTTCACACTCCTTTTCATGAAATGTGCTTTTGCTTGAAGCACCTTTAAAATAGCAAACTGTCTATGTATTTTTTCTACTACTAGCCATCATTTAATCTGTTTAATGGAGTAGATGGAGAGTGGGTGCGATGTTTATTTCAGCAGAAAGTGAACTGGAACCAGTGGAGCCAGTGTCCAGCAGGTTTGCCATATACAATTATAAATACATATCAGTCTAAGAGTGCGTACACAAGCGCATCAGTATCCAGGTTATGATCGTGTTTTTTGTGAATCCTGGTTTCTTCATGGTGCTTGTATACGCAGTATCCCGGTTTCAGTATCCCGGTTATGGCAGTATCCCGTTTATTAGAAACCGGAATACTGTAGCCGGTATATTTTGATAGTAACTGGGATACTGTGGCAAGTAAACGCAGTATCCCGGCTACTGCAACATAAAGTTGAGTGCGCATGCGTCCAAAAGACAAACACTTTCCAGTCTTTTCATCGTGACAGTAGCGACATAAATAAAGTGACCAACTTAAATAAAGTGATCAACATAAATAAAGTGACCATATATGAGTGAAATGACTGCAAAATGAAGAGCTGCGCGACAATCTGCACGTGTGTGATCGCTGAAAAGCTAAAACTATCTCCTACGATACACGCACAGAACAGACTCACCATCATCAGCGCCTCTTCTGTCACAAAAAGAACACACATAATCCACTGAGTCGTGTCTGATCACATCAGCGGCACAAGGAGCGAGCTGTTTTTATCAGCACTAACAGTTTATGCAAATTAGCCATACGGTCTTAAGTTTTGTTTCAGTAAAACGTAAACAAATGTGATTTGAGCTGAATTATCTGATCAAACAGGATCTATAGTGGTTATGGTTTATGTGTTGTAAAGTTGATTTTATTTATGGAGAAGATTTTAATGAACAATCTGTTGGGTTTGATCTGTGCAGTGGATTGTGGGAGATCTCATAGCTCTTTAACGCTGATTAAACCTCCCGAGCTTCTTATGCTAAAGGAGCTCACGGTTTGTATTTTTCCTGGTTTATTACATTTAGATTAAATTCATTTTTGCACTTGCACATTTGTAAGATTATGTCAAGAAACCGGGATACTCCATTTGATCATGTACACGGGGGATTTGAGTATCCCGGTTTATCAGCACGCATGTATACGCAGTATCCCGAATACTGCAATAACCGGGATATGGCTAATAACCAGAATACTGATGTGCACCTATACGTGCTCATTGCTTCTTACCTGTCCATTTTTTGACCTGCCATAGACTGGGACAAGAGTGGACTGACTCTTGATGTTGGGCCATTCGTATTTCTTTGTGCGTTAAACTTAGTGAGTCTGGTTTGGAGCTAGAGTAAATGTTTACGTCTCAGCACTCCCCGTCTCTCTACATGTCACAACACGGGACCACACTACAGGCCACATCATAACGTTTAATTCCTCGGGTGGGGTATAAGAAATGCCAGCTTTGTGTATCTCCAAAGTGCATCTGGTACAAAAGTGAAAGGAGTTAAATGAAGTTCAATGAGCAACAAATAATGCTGTACCTGTTCTTTGTAAGCTCCAATACGGATCTCAGCTAATTCATTATAGCAACAGGATCATCGGCTTTCTGTACAAAACTGTAGAACTGATTCGCCGCTGCTGACTCGGCCTTTCCATACTGCAATTTCATTCAGTTTTTAAAGGCCTATTGAGCTGTTTTCTGATCTATGTTATAAGATTGTTTTCTCATCAAGAACATAACACAAGGTAGAACAGAGAATATGGAGATTCTGTCAAAAAGAGAGCACTTCTGGATTCACCAAATAAACACTCTAGCTCACAGGTGTCAAACATACGGCCCGGGGGCCAGATCCGGCCCTCCAAGACCTTTAATCTGGCCCTCGGCTGATTTTCTACTAAAATATTTTAATTATATTTTCTATTAAAATCTTGTTAATTTTCTGTGGTGTTTATCACAGCAGCGTCTCCAGCGTCTCTGTACGTGGCCCCTCCCACCAGAGCAGCACAAATGAAGACTTGTCTCTTTCCAAACGCTCTTAAAGGACGATCGTTTTGACTGTTGACCGTGACACCCTCATCAGAAAAATGTCCAACATGAGAAAAGTGGAGCCGAGTGCAAGATTTTCCCAAAAAAAATTGATTCCTATTTGCAAACAAGTTCATGTTAAAATGTTGAAAATGCATTTTTCTTAAAGTTTCAGGTTGTTCATAATATTATAATATTTTGTAAAAGAAAGAGTTCATTTATTTAAAAAGATTTCTGTAATAGATTTGCGTTTCTCTGCACCAATATTTTAACTTATTGTTATTTTTGGGGTTTATATGACATGAGTTTTCTGATCCGGCCCCTTTGGATCAAAGTAGGTTGGATACGGCCCCCGGACCGAAATGAGTTTGACACCCCTGCTCTAGCTCCTCACGAACTTAATTTGGACTTTGACCTAAGATGGTTTTTGTGATATGATCAAACTATTTGTGTATTTTATGAGAATGTAAATATAATGTAAATATGTAAGTGTTTTTTCATGTTGTAGAGTGGGCTGAACTCACTGGGTGACCTCACTTTTCGTTGGAGGCGTATATGAGCTCCTGGGCTGGCAACTATTTTGTATACTGTGGTCCAAAGCAAGAAAAATGATCTGACGAAGGCTTTTTTTGCCGAAAGGTTATTTGAAAAAAAAAAAAAAGCTTTTGGACATCGGACATCTGAGTGTGCCATGCATTTTTTCACTTTTATAGACAGACTTATAAACATGTACGAATGAAACAAAACACAACTCCAGATAACAAAGTTGTAACATGGCTTAAAGTTCACAAGAGTCAATTATGCATAAAATAGGATCTTTACTATACAAAAAATTGTATATTGTATAAAATAATTATTTTTTAACACAATATATGGCCCAGAGATGACATTTTCCAGACAATAAGACAAAAGAACTGGAGCCTGAAAAAAGAAAAAAGCTTGAAATGCCTGACAATACAGGATTACTTGAAGTAAAAGTAAGTTAATGATAACAGAAAAAAAAGCTAAAAACTCATAAATGTTGATTTTGTTTCTCTTTTAAAAGTAATATATGACGCAAAATTGACTCTTGTGAGCTTTGAGCCATGTTAGAATGTTGTGACCTCTTCAAAAACAGACCTGGAGTTGTGTTTTGTTTCATTCACATGTTTGAGTAATCCAGAATTATTAGTCTGTCTACATCTCCAAAGCTCAAAATGCTCTGTTCCACCTCGTGATGTCATGAAGGTGGACAGCTCCTTTTAATCGAAATACACATCATAACTACAAACTTAGAGGTAATAAAAAAAATGTATCAGCCAAAAGTTAGAACTACTTTAAAGTCAATATGCATCTCATTATGTGGAATGGATTATCAGAAGAACTAAAAGTGTGTAGGACTCTGATATAGTTTAACAACTATTTAAAAGAGAAACAATGAAAAAAGTGGCTGGAGGAGAGACAGTGTTGCCCTCAGCACAGAGCGTGAGGTCAGGGGGAGGGAGGTGTAGGGTCAGAGAGTGTTGGGCCAGTGTGGTGTATAGATGAGTTTGTGAATGTTTGTTTTGTCTTGTCTTATGTATAATATATATGTGTAATTGAAGTGTTGTTCTGTGAACCTACCACCTAGTGCTTCCACTCAATTTAATTTCTCTCCGGCAGCTAGGTTAGGAATCAAATACACTAGATGGGTTGCAAAGACCCCGGAAGTTGTAGACCGCACACCAGCCAATCAGTGAAGAACTGTGAAACCATGACGTCAAACTCAAGCACCTTTCTGGGTCCCTTTTGTGGCACAACACAACAGTAAACAAAGCGGTCGAGATGGATGTAGATGAAGACATACATTCTGTGTTGGCAACCATTCCCGAGATTGAGGATTTATAGCTGGAACAAAGAGAATGTTTGGTGAATTTTATCAAGGGGAAAGATGTTATTGCCCTTCTTCCTACGGGATTTGGCGCATTACATACGTCACGACCAAATAGCAGCGACTGGTTAAATAAAAAAAGTACCTGCCTACCATCAACAATGAACGGATTTTAGTGCTGCGAGGTCAGACGGTTTCCACAAAGTAAAACCGGCTGATTAATCAGGCTCGTGAAGTGTGGGAGTGGATTGGAAAATGTATAAACTTTGCTTCATCCATTCCCTTTTCAAACCATGTATGTTTGTATTTGCATCTGTATTGTTATGGTGTTATGTGAATTGTATGTGCAGGTTTGCAATAACTAACTTTTACCTTTCATTCAGTAGAGATTGACAATTCCAGGGTTGAAATTATCCAACTGATTCTAGTGAAGGTGTATGGACTTTATCACAGTGGAGAACTTTCTGTATTACCACATGACATCTCAAAGTGGCACAGAGTGTTTTCAGTTTGAGGAAAAAAAACACAGCTTAAATATGCAGGATTTGTGTGTTAAAAATGTGTCAATAAAACAAAACACAACTTCCTTTGTGATGAGGAAACAACATAGATCAGAGAATGGTGTGACAAACTCTGCATCAAACTATTCACTTTTATGTAAAAAGAAATAACAAAAAAGGTAAATAAATAATACTAATAATAACTAGAATAGAGACTTCATTTTGCTTCACACTATTCACGAATGTACAATAAAAAGTCTGTCTTACCTGGTTGTGATGCTCGATTCCCATGCTGATCGTGTTGATCAGAATAGCGATCATAATCCCCCGACTGAAGTACTTGCTCTCCACTATCCCCCACAGTTTCCTCCTTATATCCGTCCAGAGGTTTTTACAGTGTCCCAAACAGGTGCGCCTCCTCTTTTTCCTCGGGACCTGGTCCTCCGGGTGGTCGTCGCGGTCCGTCTCCTTGACAGCCGTCTCCTCGTCCTCTCCGTCCTCTTCGTCTGCGGTCTTGGTCCTCTCTTTCAGGGACAGGGAGCAGACGGGGCACTCCTCGGCGTCGTCGGGTAAAGCCACGCTGACGGAGTTTGCCAGGGGCTGGGAGTCGTGGGTCTGTTTGGTCGGGCGTGGGCATCGGCAAACTGGAAAAACACCAACATAAGTTTAGTTATGGCTTTGTTAGATGAAAGATTGAATTAGCGGTAAATCCTAAAACGTGAGAAAACATCAGTAAGAACACTTTACGTATTTTACATTGTTTTAAAAAGGTGCATTACGTGACTTTTCTGGTGGAGGAATAGCCACATGCTTGTCTCCATGGAGATGTTATTTCTTTACCTGGAATGTTCCATAGTACAGGGCTCCCACTCCTTTTCACTGACAAAATTTCAAAACTTTTCCATGACCTAAAGTGAATTTTTCATGACTTTGCTGCACCTACATGTGTAGAATTGATCAGACTTTTAGGGCTAAATATGAAATGTTAAGTCTTTCCTCTCACCGTATGGTTTGGTTTTATAGTTTTTTAACATTCAAAATACTGTCATTTTATTGTTGTCTCTTTTAAACAAATGCCACAGACGTTCGGAAATAATCATAATAGCCTCATGAGAACTTAACAGAACACTGTAATTGCGTGAAAGAGAGACTGAAATTGTATGACTTTTCCAAAACGTTCATTGAATTTGCAATGACTTTTCCAGGTCTGGAAAATTACACTTTCAATTTCCATGACTTTTCCAGGATTTCCATGACCGTGGGAACCCTGATAGTAAGATGATTCCACCAAGCCGTGTTACACTCACCAGTCTCATGCCACCTAGTGCCTCCTCTTAATTTCATTTATGTCCAGCGACTAGGTCAGGAATCAAATACACTAGACGGTTTGCAAAAACCCTGGAAGTTGTAGACTGTGCACCGGCCAATCAGCGAAGAGCTGCAAAGTCATGACATCAAACTCAAGCGCCTGTCTGGGTCCCTTTTGTGGTACAGCACAACAGTAAACAAAGCGGTCGAGATGGATGTCGACGAAGACAGACATTCTGTGTTGGCGACGATTCCCGAGATCGAGGATTTAAAGCCGGAACAAAAAGAATGTTTGGTGAATTTTATCAAGGAGAAAGACGTTATAGCCCTTCTTCTTATGGGATTTGGCTCATTACATACATCACGACCAAATAGCAGCGACTGGTTAAATAAAAAAGTTCCCGCCTACCGTCGAGCGAACTAATCCTAATGATGCGAGGTCAGAGGGTTTCCATGAAGTGAAACCAGCTGACGAATCAGGCTACAATTTTGTTGCTTGTTCAGAGGAAAGAGACTCATTCATGCGACACATTTGGCACATTCATTGTTTTGATGATTAAAATGGGCATTTTGCATATTAGTGGTTTAATAAAGACTTTTAGTATCACACCCATGAGTCAGCTTTTGTTTTTATCGAGATATGCATCGTATCATGGCCTATATATCGAGGTATGTATCATACTGGCAACCCAGCCATCGTACGGAGGGTTTGAATAGGGCCTGAAGAGATCGCTAGATTACTCAAACATGCATGGATGACATCTAAAATCACTTCAGGCATGTTTTTGATAAGGGAAAAACTTTACAACATGATAAAAAGCTTCAAAAAGTCAACTTTGCATAGTGCCCCTGTTTAAAGATTGATTTGATGGTAGTTGAGAAAACATAAGAAAACACTTAACTACAATTTTAATAATGCAGTTAAATGACGTAAAGTACATGACTAAAAAACAAAAATGCTATATTCAGTTTCCAGCACAAGCACATAGAGAAAACGATGTCTGATTATCCAGTATAGTTACAGATCGCAGAGAAAGAAAAGGCATCGGGCTCATTTCTTCTGTCAAATATTGTGATTTGAACAATTCTTAAAATAAATAAATCAAGATTAATTTCACAGAGCCTGTTCTGAACCCACTGTGAAGAATCGGCGTGAAATATGAACTGCTAATCTGAAACAAAAATCAGGCGTTTGGTTTTCAAATTGTAATTTCATTTGGATATGATTACCCATTGAGCCCTGTTCATGATGAAGAGTTTTAGAAATTCATTGAAAACATGTTTGATGAAATCGACAGCCGCCCCGTGTCTGAAATCTCAACACGAATCAATACAAGACACAGTGTATCAGATGTAATAATAAAACACAGCAGGTCGCGAATTCTGATACTAATTAGAAACACTGGAAGCATTTTAGTGAGAAAAAACTCTTTATCGTCACAAATGTTTGGAAGATTTGTCATGTTTTATGTAATTCTGTACCTCAACAAAAATACATACACGCTGAAGTGTTGAAACCTCTTTTGTAGTAAGACAAATAATCATTTAGCTTAAAGCCTCACTGTGTAACATTTCATCCTTAAATTCATTACAAGTAGGGATGTAACAGTAACCGAAAAATCGTGATATCGTATCGTCAAAAGTTTCACTACAAGTTCCTTTGCTTAAATGCATTGTTTTATAGGAGCAATAGCGAATAAACTTCAGGAACTTCATTTCCCATGATTCATTTCAGTGCAGACAACATGAAGTTATATGTTTTTACTTTAATTTTTGGGATTATGATGGAAATAATTCACACCAAATTCTTGTCAGGGTATTTTAAAAGCAAAAAAGCCTCTCCAAAATATCACAATAAATATCGTACCGTGAGATGCACATCATTGTGATATCGTATCTATTTTCGAGTTTTGGATATTGTTACACCCCTAATTATAATTGTTTTTATTGTTTTAAAAGGCCTATATTACACTAAATTACACTATTTTTTTGATCTATATAATGTTTCTTGATCACAAACATAATTGGAGTTATGTTTTGTTGTGTTTGTTTTTGTTTTAACACATAAATTCTGCATATTTAGACTGAGTTCTTCTCACAAACAGAAAAAAACCCCAAAAAACTCTGTTCTACCTTGTGATGTCGTGTGGTAATACAGGAGGTGCTCCACTGTGTTTTAAAACCCCATACATCTTTATTACAACCATTTATAATTTTGGCCTTGGAACTGTCAAGCTCTACTGAACTAAACGTAAAAGGAGCTGCTTAACTTGAAAATTACCACTTCATGACATCAGAAGGTGAAGCAGAGCATTTTGCGCTTTGGAGATGTAAAGAGACTAATATTAAAAGATTACTTAAGCGTGTGTGAATGAAACAAAACACAACTCCAGGTCTGTTTTTGAGGAGGTAACAACATTACAACATGGCTTAAACCTCACGAGGATCAATTTTATGTAATAAAGTAGGGGTCCCTAACTGCCAGGCCGGGGACGGGTACCGGGCCATGAAAGCATGAACCCCTCCCTTATGCCACATGGACCATGCCCCCCCTCCCGCACGGTACGTGGACCGTCCCCACTCCAGTACGCTGCGAGGACCGTCCTTCCTCCCTTACGCTGCGAGGACCGTCCTTCCTCCCATACGCTGCGAGGACGGTCCTTCCTCCCTTACGCTGCGAGGACCGTCCCTAATCCAGGACGCTGCGAGGACTGTCCCATATGCCACATGGACCATGCCCCCCCTCCCGCACGCTACGTGGACCATCCCTACTCCAGTACGCTGCGAGGACCGTTCCCACTCCCATATGCTTCGAGGACCGTCCCCACTCCCGTACGCTACGTGGACCGTCCTTCCTCCCACACGCTGCGAGGACCGTCCCTACTCCAGTACGCTGCGAGGACCGTCCTTACTCCAGTACGCTGCAAGGACCGTCCTTCCTCCCATATGCTGCGTGGACCGTCCCCCCTCCCATACGCTGCAACTGCGAGGACCATCCTTCCTCCCATACGTCGCGTGGACCGTCCTTCCTCCCGTATGTCGCGTGGACCGTCTTCCCCCTCCCGTACGCTGCATGGACCATCCCCCCTCCCGTACGTCGGGTGGACCGTCCTTCCTCCCGTACGTCGGGCTGGCCGTCCCTCCTCCCTTTCACCACGCCTCTAAACCAGAACTAAACCAGAACTAAAACCAGGTCTAAACCAGGTATAAACCAGGATTAAACCAGCTCTAATCCAGGACTAAAACATGTCTAAAACAGGATTTAGCCAGGACTCAACCACAACCGCACACCGCGCCTCCTCCCATACGCCGCCCCTCTAACCCCCTCCAGTCCACGAAATATTGTTTGATATAAAACCGGTCCGTGGTGCAAAAAAGGTTGGGGACCATTGCAATTAAAGGACCTTCAAAATACCAGAAGCCAATTGTGCCTCGTTCGGCCAAACTGAAAGTCAAATCTGTGGAGAGGCGACCCACTCACAGTAAGAACTTCGCAATAACTTTGAACTTTGAATCCACGCTTTTATGTCCACAAACTAGATTACCGCATTGTGTTATTGTCAGGACTCAGCAAAACCTAAGGCCTAACTTCACCTGCCTGACCTGCTCGTGCCCTTCACTGCTCCTCGCTCTCTCAGGTCTAAAGATCAGGCTCTCCTCATCACCCTTAAGACTAAAAGAAAACTTAGAGACGTCAGGGTTTTCGGTGGCTGCTTCTAGAATCTGGAATGAGCTCTCGCTGAGCATCACACAGGCTGACTCTCTTCCTGTCTTTTTTTTCTTTGGCATTCAACTCAGTTTGAAGAGTTGGCATAAATCAGTTTTCTGTTTTCCATTACTGTAGTTTTCTTGCCGTTTCATCTCTTGTTTTTAATATTGTTTTGTATAAAGCTCTATAAATAAAGAGGTAGATAAGTGTCAGATTGCAGATTTGTTGACCTGGTTTATGGATTGCGGGGACTATCCACATGAAACAAAAACTTCCACAAAGTTCAACGTCCTCTCTGTCGCTATAAATAAACAAAAGTGAAATGATTTGGTCACAAAAGTTTTAGAAAGTCGTGCCGTTTTTCATCCCAATTGTTGTCACTCGAAATGACGGCGCTTTTGTTTACTTTTAACATTGTTTTTGCAGATGCATCTCTATGGACATTTTTGCACTGCTGCCAACAAACATGGCAGACTTCAATTGCAACAGACGTTTATTGAAGTTCTATTTTATGCCCGTTTTATTGTTAATCCTTCATCGTGACTCGTGTTTCAAACTCAAGAAGTATCGAGTCAAAGGAATAGACTTGATACTCAATATGATACGACAATGAAAATAACAAAAAAACACACATATTACTAAGGTTGTTCTGATACGATACTGGAATACATGCATCACGAATTTTGGACTTCCGGTCATTGCGCATATTGGGAAGGATTTTCCGAAAAAGTAAGCATAGAACCGCCATGTTTGTTTTCCCAGTGGGAAAGTCTTTTGAACCATATCCCTTTTGTTTCTGGTTCTGATATTGTCATATTTTAGTTTTGGGATTTCGGACATTGTAATAGTGTGGTTGTTGGATGTCCTAACAGCGGAAAACGGCTCAAGAAATGGGCTTTGGAAGTTTGCAAACTCCATAACTGCAAAAGGGAATCAAATCTGTGTGAATTTATGTGAAACCTCCATTCAAACTATTTCTCTTCCCAATGGAATTGAAAAATAGTGAAAGGTGAAAGCGATGAGCAGTATTGATACTAAAGGACGAAAAAGGAAACCTTTGGCTGCCTAAGAAATCATCCTGAGTTTGCGGCGAACTTTTTGTATGTTGAACGCCATCAAAGCAAAATCCCGTTTGTTAAGCGAGAGGTGCAGAAGACAAACAGGCTGAGCTCGCACTTTCTTGTTCTTGTGGTTTTACATCAACATCATGTCTTGGTCTCTTTGCAGTGGAAGGTGTTTCTTGGCGAACAGCTGGTGCCTTTCTCTTTGGCGTTGACTTTTTAAATTCGTAACCGAGGTGGAGGACTCCACATGCAACATGTTCACTGCAAACTCGGGATGATTTCTTAGGCAGTCACAAGTTACCTTTTTGGCCATGTGTTACCTCCTTTAATACCTTCATTTAGTTTCTGGTGTGGACACTGAAATAACTACAGAGAGAGCAGCACTAACTCAGACTTTGTTTACTCTGCATCATTAGCCATGTGCTCCGAGGAAGAGCTTCTTTTTACAGGCCTCACTGTCGTTTTTATCTCTGCACTGTGGTAAAAAGTGACAAAGTGGAAAAGTTAAAGAGCTTAAATCAGCACAATTTATCATCGAGACCAGAATATACATCTAACTACTACTTTAGCGCTTAAAATCTCACTTATTCTTCTGGATTTTCTTTAAAGAAAGCTTTTTAGTAGTTTTATTTTTTGTTCTTGTCCAAAATTGAGTAGCTTTAGTCTGCAGAGGTGGAACCAAGTCATTGTTTTGCAAGTCTCAAGTAAGTCTCAAGTCTAAGTCAGGTCGCAAGTCCCATAAGTCCAAGTCAAGTCCAAGTTGTCTGCTTTGAGCTTCAAGTCATTTCAAGTCTTTAAACCAAACTACCAAATAGAGCTTAGATTTTTGCAATTTATATGAATTTTTAACTAAACTGCAATAAACGCAATCTTTCTTTTTTTTTTTTTTTTTTCATTTTTAAATGTCTTGACAAGATCTTAGTGTGAATCACTGCAGTCAGAGTAGAAATAATTCAGATTTAATAACAGTTATTTTGTCAAGTAGACTGCACTGAAATGGAAAGATCATGTTCTATATAGTTCCTTCTGTTTTTAATGTATATTACTGTTGTACATTTGAGAATACGACATCGCAGTACTTCAGTTACATCCAAAGTAACAAATAGAGAAGTGGGAGGGACATGTTCCAGTTTGTTCTTGTAAAATTAAGCACCACATTTATCAACTGTAAAGAGAAAAGTATTTTCTAAAAGCAAATATATTGTTTTAGGAGAAGCAACAAGTCTTCTCACGTCACAGGGCTCAAGTCCCAAGTCATTGACATTCAAGTTGAAGGTCGAGTTCCAAGTCTTAGTGCATTTTTATCAAGTCAAGTCCTAAAAATAGTGACTCAAGTCTCGAGTTCACCTCTGCTATGCGGTATCAGACTGGTCTCCGTATTGTCGAGTACACTACAGCTCTGTGTGTAATCCTTCAGTGGTCCAGGTTGGTTCCACAGTGGTCCATGGGTCTATACTAGTCTATGTGCTCTTATATTTGTTCTGATGCAGCTCAAGATCATTCTAAAGCTATTCAGGAAAGGTTCATGTCTGCCCAGTGAATGCGACTTTTTTAATATCAATACCAACTTAAATTACTATCTAGTTTCAATACAAATTTTAGTATCAGATCTTCAATATGTTTCACAGTCCTCTCTGTCACTCACCTTTCTGTTGCCTGGCTTGATGTCTCTCTCTCCCAGTATTCCCCCCTCCTCCTGCTGCTCCCCCTGCTGGTCGCCGGTTGGCCCTGCCCGCTGTGGCCGGCGGAGTCTGCCCCCGCAGGCTGTAGTAGAGCGCGGCTGACCTCCTCTTGGCCTTGCGCAGGATGTGGCAGACCAGCTGGAAGATCTCCTCGTAGCAGTCCCCCGGCTCGGTCATGCTGGCCAGGGTGGACGAGGACAGGCACTGGGCCCTCTGCTCCTGCATCAGCTGGTGCTCGCGCTGCTTCGTCTCCGAGAACTGCGTGGCGATGACTACCAGGCACAGGTTGATCATGAAGAAGGAGCCGATCTGGAGAGGAAGAGATGGTGTATGAGCGCAAAAAATTAGAGCCCGACCGATATGGATTTTGCTGTGGCTGATATGAAACCGATATAATGGGAGTTGGAGCTGCCGATAGCCGATATAATCGCCGATATATTTAGTAATGTAAAAATTCGCTGTAAATGTTGAATTGTTTAAAAAACTTGGGTTTGGCACTGGTGGATTTTAAATTGGGTTTATTTAGGCAACATTTATTGTTATTCTGCCTCTTTACATCATATTTACAGACAGTAGGTTGGCTTAATGGCATTTTTGCATCACATTCTAGACACTAGTGATGGGTATTCCAGTTCTTTTTAGAGAACCGGCTCTTTTGGCTTGGTTCACTAAAAGCTGCTGGTTCTTTTTGGCTCCCAAGTGGCTCTTCAGATTGTTTTGTTGCAAGCAGGACTAAAGCACGTCTAAAGCAGGACTGAATCAGGACTGAACCAGGTCTAAACCAGGACTGAAAAAGGACTAAACCAGGACTAAAACAGATCTAGACCATGTGTAAAACAGGACTAAACCAAAACTGAACCAGGACTGAGTGTTGGGACTCGGTCTCTATCTCGTGCCCAAAATTTGTCCTGGTTTATTTATTTTCTGCTAAACTACAGCCAAATATGCAAATTTTTCAAAGTTTCGTTTTCAGCCGCTGACGCTGTCAAACCACGAGTCTGCACGCGGCGTGAAGAGAAAAAAAGAGAGAGAAAGAGAAAAACACGACTCCCAAAAAGGATCAGGCTCCCGTCGTTCGCTTCAAAGAGACGGCTCTAAGAGCCATTTCTTTTGCGACCGACCCATAACTAGTAAATAAACAATCGCTATTAGCCTTTAGCCGTAAATACGTGCGCGCCGCGGTAATTAATTATATGCGCAAATGTCATAATTCACACCTCTATTCACAGCTCATTTACATATCAGTGCAGGTCCAGTAACAAATATACGGACAATATGATCAATTTACAATAGACCAATAGAAAACAGCCTGTTTATGTGCGGGAGCTACAGCAGCTAATAGCTAACTAATGAGAAAAAACTAGCTTCAGAGTCGATGTATTTCCAACACTCACCGCTCATACAGGCTCCTCCTCACATCACAAGTCTGCACTAATAAATGTCCTTTTAATCCAGATTCAAACCGATTGTCCGTAAAAAGAAAATAATCTCAATGTTTGGATCTGTGTCTGCAGGTGTAAACAAACACACGTGAGTGACGCGACTCTGTGGTGTGTTCAGGGACAGTACGGACACGCACAGACAAATGACTCCGTAGATAAATACTGATGTGGAGCCACATATTAGGACATTTATCTGTCTGTAAATTGGATTAAATGAGCATAATGTAGAGAGTCTAAGCTTTATAACTACATATAACATGCCCACGTGAAATATCGGCCCCTCTCAGCAAGCATATCGGTCAACCGATATATCGGTCGGACTCTACAAAAAATATACTACTAATAATAACAGTAGTACTCTTAAGCCTCCAACCCCATCAAAAAACTGACTGTGCACCCCACAATCCAGAGCGCCCTATACACGAATCCACTCGGGTGTCCCAGCACAACTTCAGTAAACTACAAAGCCGCACCACCCGCAGCGACCGTGCAGCAAAACACACCCGCAGCCACACTCTTCACTCCACGCGGACGATGATCGGAACAGAGGAACGAACCGAAAAAGCGAGTGCAATGTGCCACTTCTAGACACAACTGAACAACTGAGTCACTGCAAACACGCCGACAATCCGTTGGTCCCAGACAGCACCCTCCCTACACGCCACAACTGAACAAAGCCCAGAGTCAAAGTGAACGCCACAAACAAACAAAACCACTCACCCATCCAACTGTTGTGTTTCCTTTAAAGTCCGGCGCAGTTTATTTGTGAAAAAAGTTTGAAAATAGACCATTCAATGACAGTGCACTTTATAATCCAGAGCGCCCCGCAGTGCAGAAAATACAGTATTTAAGATTAAAGGAAATCTATGTGGACAGTTTTAGGTATTACACTCACTCAATCTGTGTTGACAGTGCCTGCATATTATTACTTTTCAGTTGATGCCATCAAAATACCAGGGTGTGTGATGCTAACTGCAGGCATTGCTCTTTCTGAAGCTTTAATTTGACACAATCTGATCAAAGAACTGACTAAGGTGATGTCCACACAACAATGTTTTTTGGTCGAAACCGTGAAGTTTTTATTCGTTTTGGCCTTTGGTCCACACAGAGCCGGCGTTTCAGGTGGGCGAAAACGGTGTTTTTGAAAATAGGTTCCAGAGTGGAGAAATCTGAGAACGCTGGTATTGCGTTGTCATGTGAACAAGCAAACCACAGCTTTTGGAAAACGCCAAGTGACCAGAAGAGAACCCTACGCAGGAAGAACTTAATGTGCATGTGCTCTTTGTAGTATTGTGTGTGCAGTGGCTCTGGTTGTGTCCTGTTTACAGCACCACATACAGGTGTGGCATATGTATTACATCGTTTTCACTCAGTGCTCCATTGTCGCGTGGACCTGAATATTTATTGATCCGACACGTGTGTTGATGCAAAATTTATTCAACTCACACACACACAAAAAAAGAAAATCCAGGAGCGTTCTTATGTAGATGTAGCCTCTGTAGGAACTTCAACAGGTGAGATGATTTGAGCTGTCACTTTCACCTTTTTGTTGAAAACTCAACTCCTAAACAGGACCTTGAACGCTTGAAGGCTCCTGAAAATGTGTTGTTTAAATCCATTTTGTATTTTTTTTTCGAGTTTTCAGACCATCTAAAAATGTTTTTGACAGTGTTGGCCACATTTTTATTTAGCGCTTTTCCACCTTCAAGGCACTCAAAGCATTTTTACAACAAGGAACCACTTGACACATTCACACACACTTTCATACACAGACACTGAGGGGAAGGCCTTGCCCAAGGACACAACAACAGCATACATCTGTGGGAGCTGGAATCACACCAGCCAACCTGTGGGTCAGTGGAAACGTGCTCTGCCAACTGAACTACTGTCGCCTACTGCCCCCACAAGTTTTTCTCAGTATATGTACAGACCATGGCTCATGTGAAATCTTAAAACCTCAAACCTGAGCACTGGAACTGGCAACCCAAATGAGAGGAACAACAAACAAACAAGAAACAAGAAACAAAAACTGGCACAGTTCAACATCTTCTGTGAGTATAAATAATAAATAAATAAAAGTGAAATTATTTATTGGCAAAAGCTTCAGAAAATTGTGCCATTATTCAGCTCAAAAGACGTGACTGTTTCAGTATTTACACTGGCGACCCAAATGAGAGACTCGTGTGAGGCTCATTCTGCTTTCTGACTGGATCTTGAAAACCAAAACACCAAATTTTAACATAAACCTGTCCATCATGTCCAATGATTTTTTGTAATTAAGAATGAATCAGCATTAAAAGCATTTTATTTGAACATGTGTATATGGAAGTATAGATGTGCCAGAAGTTTTGAATTAGAATATTTCACGATGAATGAAATAACTTGAATGAAATTTTTTGAAATGGAAATAATAGGGGAAAAAAGACATTAACATGATAGATGGGTATGATTTTACATTACTACTCAGCATCTTTAATTCAGATGTAAAAATTCAAGTTGAGAAATTCAAGTTGAGAAATTCAAGTTGAGAAATTCAAGTAGAGGAATTCAGATTTTTAAAAAATTCAAGTTGAGAAATTCAGATCGGAAAAAAAATCAAGTTGAGAGATTCAAGTTGAGAAATTCAAATTGAGAAATTCAGATTGAAAAAAAATCAAGTTGAGAGATTCAAGTTGAGAAATTCAAATTGAGAAATTCAGATTGAAAAAAAAATCAAGTTGAGAAATTCAAGTTGAGAAATTAAAGTTGAGATCGAAAAAAAAAATCAAGTTGAGAAATTCAGATTTTAAAAAATTCAAGTTGAGAAATTCAAGTTGAGAAATTCAGATTGGAAAAAAATTCAAGTTAAGAAATTCAGATAAAAAAAAATAAAATAAAAATCAAGTTGAGAAATTCTAGTTCAGAAATTTAAGTTGAAAAATTCAGACCGAAAGAAAATTGAAGTTAAGAAATTCAAGTTGAGAACTTCAGATCGAAAACATTTGGGTCAAAGTTCACCACACGTTTTGTTACTATGGGAACTTGCTAACACCAGGGGGCGCCATGCTCAGAGGCAAAAAAGCAGAAGACGTTCAACATTCTTGCACAACATGAACACAACATGAAAGTTTTTTGTTTGTTTTTTTTAAATAATCCACTTGGTTGTTCATGGTGTAATCTGAATTTCTCAACTTGAATTTTGCTGAAAAGTAGTAAAATCATTCCCAACTTTCACATATTAATGCTTTTTTCCACATTTTTTTTCCATTTCAACTATTTTTTTCCATATGTGCACTTCATATGTTGGGACACAGTAGGTCATATTTATGGAATTTATCATCTAAATCTTATCAAAAAGTCTTCTGGAGAATTTGAGCTACGGTGCATATTTTGGGTTGACGGGCGAAACACGTATGCGTTAAGGAAACCCACCCAGACACAGGAAGAACACGCAAACTCCACGCAGACCAAACTCTTGAGGGGTGAAAGTGCTAGCCTCTCCTCCACACATTGCCGCTTCGCAATTAATCACATTTGAATTCCACTGTTTCAAGTCGTCAAAGTGCTTCCTAATGGAGACGTCCGCAGCGGCACAGAGTCTCTTGTTGATAAAAACATGTGGCTCCGGAAGAAATTGCACTATATTATGTTTGAAGTAGCGCTAATTAAAACGTCGAATGAATGAATATTGTCTTGTTTATGTTCCTGAAATTAACATTGAAAGCCATTTTAATGTTTTTAATTCTTCAATAAATGACTTTTTGTTTTATGTTTTGCCATATCGCAAAGTTTATGTAGAATTGAGAGGTTTGCCGTTTCCACACTTTCTCCAATAACTACGCTACGTTTCTATGGCACATTTTATAACTTTCAGACAGGCAAAGTGGG